ACCCGGTGGGCCATTAAGCATAAGAAGACAAACATGCTCAGGACCACTAGCCACCCAAGAGATGGCAAATTAAAACCACCAGGAGATACCACCTCACATCTGCACTGAGAGCAGAGCTTGAAAAATGAAAACAAGTGCCAGAGAGGGTTTGGCGAGACTTGGGGGTCTTCACACGCTGCTGATGGGAACGAGACTGCAGCCACTGTGGGAAGAGGTGTGGTGCTCCCTCAAACAACTGGGAATAGAAAGGCCATGTGACCCAGCACCCCCTCTACTTGCTATGCACCCAAATCAGTAGGGGCCACACGGCACACTCATGCCCATTGCAGCACTGTTCGCAATAGCAAGAAGTTGGGAACAACCTACGTGCCCACCAGGGAAAGATGGAGAACTATACCTGGGTACATACATACATACAATGGAATGCGCCCCAGAGTGAGGCCACCGTGAAACACCTCGAGTCATGGATGGACTTGGAAACCATTATGTGGAGTCCTGGTGGCGCAGGAGTTATGCACTGGGTTCCAGTAGTTGGAAACCACTAGGAGACAGACAGAACGTTCTACTCCTATAAAGAGCTGCAGTGTCAGAAACCCAGAGTGGGCAGGGTCACCATGAGTCTACATTGTGACTCCAGGACAGTGAGACTGAGATGGGGAGTGAAGTTACTCAACCCCAAAAGGGCAAACTTGGTACGAGACCACTGATCCCAAAGGAAAACTAACACAGAAGGCTTTCATAGCAGAAGAGCTGGACTGTGCTGGTGACCAGGACAGAATGGAGGGGAGGGCGGGGGAGGGGGGAAGCAGCAGGCTGGAGGGGTCAGGTGCTCCCTTGGGTAAAGGGAGGGCACCATTCTACAAGAGGGAGAAGAGAAAAAAAGGGCATGCTGCTGAGAGCTTTGATAAGTTGTTGAAAACTAAAATGATGCTCTGAAATCCACCAAATTCACAATAAAAAGTTTATAGGTATGTAATATTTAAAAACAAAACAAAACACATATATGGACGGTTTAATAGGATATTATTGGTGATTCCATTTCTTAAGGCAGGCTGTGTAAATATATATAGTAAGTTTTTTGGTTTTTTTTACAGTGTGGACAATATTTATATTTTTCATATTACAGTTAAAAGTATTTAGACCATAACATGAAAGGGATTCCTAGGTCCCATAGGGAATGTGAATGAGTAATGGCACTTTCAAATCTCAATATTATCATTATCTTTTTTCCCTGCAAAGCAAATGTGACTGAATATCATAAACAATCAGATCCTATGAACAATGTTAATTGTAAATCACAAATTGAGCTCTGTTCTTCACAAATAACTCTTCCAAAAATATAAAATAACTGATGTACATCCAGTAAAATAAACACAGTGGATGATGGAGACAAATGAACTATGGAATGAATCTGGAACACTGGACAATGTTTTCACTTAGTATTACTAATCTTTATTTGGATATGATATATATGTGATATGTATATACATATATACACAAACACACACAAACATACATGCACATACACATATAATTCAGAACACTTTTTTGAGAGGGAAAATACAGATAGTAAGTTTCTTAAAAAAAAAAAATCCCTCAAGATTTCTTAGCTCTCAAACCTAAATATTGTTTGAATGCTTAAAAAAAAGGAAAAAGAATGGAGGGAGGATAGGGTAGAAAGGGGGAGCCGATTACAAGGATCTACATATAACTTCCTCCCTGGGGACGGACAACAGAAAAGTGGGTGAAGGGAGACATCGGAAACTGTAAGATATGCCAAAATAATAATTTATAAATTATCAAGGGCTCATGAGAGAGGAGTGAGTGGGGAGGCAGGGGGGAAAATGAGGAGCTGATGCCAGGGGCTCAAGTAGAAAGCAAATGTTTTGAGAATGATGAGGGTACCGAATGTACAAATGTGCTTTATACAATTGATGCATGTATGGATTTTGATAAGAGTTGTATGAGCCCCCAATAAAATGATTAAAAAGAAAGAAAAAAATGGCAGGAAATGTAAAATTAAAATAGACTTGGAGTCTTTCGTAACAAACAGTTTTATCTAATATATATATAAAATAGTAGACAGATAGATGGAAATAGTCTTTCAATTAAAGATACATTCTCTGATAAACTGATCTGACTTTGTATTGTGTTTTGAAGTAATCCCACAGTGTTCAGGCTGTATTACGACAGGAGTGCAGGGACAGCGGAAGACACCTCAATTGAATGCAATCTCTACGTAGACAGAAACGGACGTAGCTATGGTTTTGAAAACAATTCCGGGTAAGGCAACAAACGCAAAGCCAACCACGGGCACAAAGTGCTGTGACTGTCCATGTGTCCTGCCCTGTTTGCATTTCCCAAATGTGTATGACAGTTCTGAGACAAGCAAGACTGCACATTGGTCCTGGCAGCATTCCATCTGTCTCTCACCGTTGTGTCTGGGGGTGAGAACTGGCTTCTGGACCTCGTTCCACATTGCACATCACAAACCCATCAAGCCCTGGCAGCCCCAGTGGCCTGAATCAGGAGCAGTCAGCCACAGTTTGCACTCACAGCCCTTCAGTTGCTGGAACAGGGCACAGACTACAGAGAATAAGACAACGTCACTCACAAAGGAGACGAGACACAACACACAATAAAAAATGAGGAGGTGGCGTTGAAAAAGGAATCAAATAAAACTATAAAAAATGTTTTCTGTGCTTGACACAGTGGATGTATGTATATAAAAGCTGTATGAGCCCCAATAAAATGATTTTAAAAAATGTTTTCAAATAAGAGATGAGTTAAAAGCAGTTCAGGTATTGTGTTTATTAACAATTAAGTGAAACACCAATTAAAACAATAATGAGAAACCGCACACCAACCCTCTAAGCAAAATTCAAAAACCCAGGAAAAAAAACAAACAACCACCATCCCTCAATTGGGTGGGATACCCTAAAGAAGTCAAGAACACAATACGAGCAGACATATGCACATGTACGTTTATTGCAGCAAATTTCACAATAGCAAAAAGATAAAACAACCAAAATCTCTGATTACAGAGGAATGGATAAACAAACTCTGGTACATTTATATAACAGAATGTTATGCCTCAATAAAAAACAATGACAACTCTCTTAAACACTAGACAATGACAGAACTAGAGAACATTACGCTTCGCACAGTTAGTCAAACTCATAAAGACCAATATTTAATGACTTCATTCTTATAAGGAAAACCAAAGAAAAGTGGTTTTCATACCAAAGGATGAGACTGTGAAGACTCGGAGGAGGTCAGGGTCGGTCCGTCGCGAAGGGAACGGGGAGAGAAAGGGAGGGAGAGAGAGAGAGGG